GGGGGGAGGTGGGGTGGAGGGCAGGAGTTGAGGTGGGGATGGCCCCGCTACAGTCCCTTTTCCGTTCCTCTCCCCGGATTTTGCGGTGCGAATCTCACAGTCAGCCATGTGGGATCCATCGCTTTAACCAGTACCACCAGCTGCCTCCTGTTTTTATTGATATACTTGACCTGGATTCATTCTTTTTTTTTTTTTTTTTTTTTTTTCCTTCCTGTTTTTTTTTTTTTTTTTTTCATCTCCTTCCAGTTTTTTTAATAGCAACACTGGCACAGAGTATTGTTATTTTTATTTTAATTTGTCTTTCCCACTAGACTGCCAGGAATTCGTATGCTGTAGGGTAAATCTCTACCTTCATCACTTTACTAAGATCCTAGCACATTATAGACACTCAGTTACTGTCTGCAGAGGAATGTATACAGTCCCATTTGGGACTTTTGCACTTTTTCCAGCAGAGTTATATTATTAAAAACTCTTGTTTTGCAATTTCCTTCAGTAGCTGCGTGCTTTATTTAGAATACCATCAGTGGATAACAGATCTTCCTTGGCAAGAGATAGTGAGGCACTTAGAGCTAAGTTTATTGAATAAGGTAACTAATATTTTTTGATCAAAGAATAATAGGGTAACTTAATACAGGCTAGTTTTTCTGATATAGCTTAAAAGTCAAGGGACCAGCAGATGGTGTAATGCTTACACTGCTGGACCCCCACATGGCTGACTGCTGTTCAAGCCCCAGACCCAGAGACTTGAAAATCATACCAGATGCATGTGTGCCCAAAATCCTGAGAGGAGAATGAAGAAAAAGGGACTGTGGCATGGCCATCCCCCTGGGGAGTGATTTCTTTTTTCTCTCTGGGTCTCTGGCGAGCACATGTACCCTATAGCAAAAATCTTTAAAAAAAAAAAAAAAAAAAAAGCCAGTCTAAATCACATCCAAAAAAGTTTTAAATCATGTTGTCATCACTGGAATAAACTCACAGCTTATAATAGCTATTTATATAGGTAATGGTCACTTGGGAATATAAATTTTGCATTCAAAATATCTTATGCATATGTATATATATATATATTAAAAAACTCTTTTAGACCAGCATAGAAGTAAAGGCAGACTTGTACAAAATCCAGTATATGAAAATTCAAATACAGAATAAGAGAGTAATCATTCGTTTATGGAATACCCACAATATCCTCGGCACCGTGCTAGATGCTGGACAGTCACGAAAAATAAATGATAATCTCTTGCCCTCAAAGAATTCCTGGTACAGCAATCAAATAATTCACCAAAAGTGAATTATATTTTCATATATACACATACACAGCTTTAGAAATCATATTTGGCCTGGGATCAGCAGTTTGCGTAAAAACCTCTCCAACAACAACAACAAAAGAAATCTTATTTGGCCTAGAATGAGGTATGGTAATGTACAGTAAGTGAAGGATTGTGACGTGGGAGAAGGCTAGAAAGAAACTTCGTAGAAGAAAAGAGCTCGAATGGGGTTTTGAAGGCAAAAACTTGGTATGGATTGATGGAGAACAGAGCAGTGGACACTGAAGACTTAACCAGCCAGAGTAGTTGAACATGGAAGCAGATCAGAAGGAGCTGAACTGTCTTGAGGGCAGACAATCACAGAGGTCATGAGAGGCCTGATAAAACATTTCTCCCTTACACCAGACAGCAGGACTCTAGTGACCATGTTCTCTAGATTCAAGGTCACTTTCCACTGGACAGTGCCAGGAAAATGGAGTCGCTAAAGTCCATTTTCCACGTGTTTAGGTTAGCACCCTTCTGCTGACTCAGTCTAATAGATGGAGGCAAACTAGCAAAAGGATAAATAAGCATGATACAGACTTACACAGGAAACTTGCTCATCAAATATCCCCTCATCCTTTTGTTTTTCCTCTTTTTAACTATGCACATAAACCAAACTGAAATAGATCAATGCAAGAAGTTCTTTCAGTACACCCACACTCCTGATGTTCTTGCTGCCATGTCTCCAGACTATGTGAGGTTTCAGGAATGAAGCTGACTTTATCTATTTATCTGTCTGTCTATTTATTTCTGTTTTGCCTTAGGGCATGTGCGCTTACTGGAGACAGAGGACACAGTGAGAGGGACAATGAGAAATCACCCCCCAGGGGATGGCCACACTGCAATCCCTTCTCTTCCATTCTGCTCCTGGGATTTTGGACACTCATATACATACCCCTTCCAGGTCCGGAGCTTGAACTGAGGTCGGCCATGTGGGAATTCACCACCACTGTACCTCCTACTGGCTCTGAGGCTTACTTTTAACAATATCAAAGAAAGAATTTTCTGTATTTTCTCTCTCTCTCATCACTTTCTCCAGCACTGCTGTGTATTTTCTTTCTCTCTAGCTTTTGGTGTTGGCCTTTCCTATGAGGATGGAATTGCTTCTGTTTGACGTCTGGGTCCTACTGGCCTTGACCCATTGCCCAGGTGAGACTGTTTGGGAAAGTTTTTTCAGCGAGTATGAATCAAGCCAGAGATGGCTGCTTAGCGAGGAAGGGAGGTCCTGAGTGGGGTGATGCTTCAGTATTCATTCATCTGGGCCATCTAGACCCTTGGAAGAAATTTCATCAGTCACTAGGACACATAATCCTTAGGTGTATCTGGGTTATATTTGGTACAACCCAAATTAATGGACCCACAGAGAATTGTTCCCTAGGAAATAAGCCTCTGCTTGTCCCTCTGCTACCCAGGACTGTCCTGCTCTCTTTTCAAAATATTTTTACCTTTTTGTTGTTGCCCTTTATATCATGATGAGCTGTAAGATTTTTAAAATTTTATTTATGTATGTATTTATTTTAAGTTTGCTCTGTGGCACATGTGCTCACCAAAGAGAGACAGACAGAAAGTGAGAAAGCAAGTCACCATGTCCAGGACTCGAAGTGCTATTGGCCATGTAGGAGTCCAACACCTTAACCATTACACCACCTGCTGGCCCCCTAGCTATAATATCTTAGAGGACAGGGCCCATGACCCTCTTACAAGGCGTGAGTTCTCCCAGCCACAGGAAAGGAACTGGAGCCTTTGCAGGTAACATTGCTTCACGAGCTGTGTATTCCCAGAGGGGACTGGGACTTGGGAGGTAAAGACCCTGGTGGACATGGACTAGCTAGAGGAGATCTGCAGGGAAGCTTTCAGGAGACCGTGTCCCTTATCTACACCAGCCATCTAGAACCCACCTACTGTCTGTCTCACTGCACCTCAGCAGACTTCCTGAACACACTGTACCTGTAAGTATTCAAAAATATTCATTGCCTTAGCACCAAAGCAGAATGAGTCAGTCTCACTCTGGGAAGAGGTGAAAAGTTCCATGAAGTGAGAGACACTGGGAGTTGCCTCTAGGCCAGTGGCCCTCACAAGTTGGTGTGTATCAAGGTCCCCAGGAGGCTCGTTTGTTTCCTAGGACAGTTCTAGGTTCCATCTTCATAAGTTTGTGATCTTTCAGTTGGAGGTGGAGTTGGAATCTGCATTTTTTTTTCCTTTTTTTTTTTTTAAGAGAGATTTTTGCTGTAGGGCGTGTGTACTCGCCGGAGAGACAGAGAGAGACAGAGAGACAGAAAGTGAGAAATCACCTCCTGGGAGTGATGGCCACATCATAATCCCTTCTCCATTCTCCTCTCAGGATCTTGAGCACGCACACACCCAGCATGAGTTTCAAGTCACCAGGTCTGGGACTTGAACTGTGGTCGACTATGTGGGAGTCTAGCAATGCAACCACTACGCCATCTGCTGGTTCTGGAATCTGCAGTTTTACAAGCCTTCCTAGTGATCTGGTAAAGGTACCTCTTGACCATGATGTGAAGGAAATGCCACTTTGAAATATAAGGAACAAAGCTCTGTGCCTGCAGTAGTCAATCCTGGGGAGCTCCCGAGAATTCTGAAAGTTTGGGAAGAGAATTATTTCCTGGGCATGATTTTCAGTGACTCCATAGTTTCCACAGTGACACTAGTAGAGAAATTAAGATCTCAAGAAAGAAGGTGAGTGGAGGGCGGGGGAACCAGCAGGTGGCATAGTGGTCAAGGTGCTAGATTCCCATGTAGTTGACCACGGTTGGAGTCCCAGACCCAGTGGCTTGAAACTCAGGCTGGACATATATACGTGTTTGCCCAAAATCCCAAGAGAAGAATGGAGGAGAAGGGATTGTGGCGTGACCATCCCCTCTGTGGGGTGATTTCTCACTTTCTGTCTCTCTCTGTCTCTGTACCCTAATAGGAAAAATCTCTAAAAAAAAAAAAAAAAAAAAAGTAGGTGGAAGGAATAGTGGCAGGATAAGGACTTGGACTCGCCAATTAGAGGTCTTTTTCTCGTCTAGTCCCCTGACTAGACAACCAAGCAGGTTCTCTGTTCTCTAGTCTATAACTAGATAGAATAAACTCTTAATTTTCTCTGAGTCTTGTGGTTCTCACCAGAGTCTTTGGCATTCGTGGTTCATTTCAGGGGCCACAGAAGAGCTGTTTGAAGTTTCTGTTCGGCCAAATCAGGCCTTAGTGGAGTTCGAACAGTCCCTGCTGGTCAACTGCAGTACCACCTGCCCAGACCCAGGCCCCAGTGGGATTGAAACTTTTCTAAAGAAAACCCAGGTGGGCAAAGGGCCTCAGTGGAAGGAATTTCTCCTGGAGAATATCACAGAAAATTCCATCCTGCAGTGCTTCTTCTCCTGTGCTGGGATTCAAAAGGACACGACTCTTGGCATCACTGTGTATCGTGAGTGGAGCTGAGGGCTGGGGAGGAAGGGGCGGAGTGGGGAAACATGAATATGTTGTGTTTAGGGAAGAATGAAATGGATTTCTTCCAGGGTCCCTAATAAAGATTTCTGTTATACTGTGGGGATTCTAGAGCCCGTTACTTCTGTTTCCTTTTGGTGTAGGCTTTCTCCTGTATTTTTAATTAGGAGCAGACCACAGAGGGCATCCAGAATGCTATGCTCAAGAATATGTTCAAATAAAGGAAGCATATGCTAAGAGTGCTAACTTCTAACTTATCAAAAAAGGATAGAATTGGGACCAGCAGATGGCATAATGGTTACATTGCTGAACTCCCATGTAGTTGACCTCGGTTCGAGTCCCAGACTGGCGGCTTAAACTCCCGCTGGGCGCGTATGCGTGCATGCCCAAGATCCCGAGAGGAGAATGGAGGAGAAGGGATTGTGGTGTGGCTATCCCCCCGGGGGGTGATTTCTCGCTTTCTGCATCTCTGTCTCTCTAGCAAGCACATCCTTCCCATAGCAAAAATTTCTCTTATAAAAATGGAGGGGAACCGGGGCCGGCAGGTGGCGTGGTGGTTAAGAGTGCTGGACTCGCACATGGCCGAGTAGTTTGAGTCCTGGACCTGGTGGCTTGTTTTCTCACTTTCCCTCTCTTTCTCGCTCTGTTCCTCTCTGGTCAAATTAAAATAAATAAAGTTAAATAAAATAATTCTTTTTAAAAAAATGGAGGGGACCAGCAGGTAGTGTAATGGTTACGTCACTGGACTCTTACGTAGTCAACTGCAGTTTGAGTTCTGGACGTAGTGGCTTAAACTCATGCCGGGTACGTGTGCATGTGTGCCCAAGATCCCAAGAGGAGAATAGAGGAGAAGGGATTGTGGCGTGGTCATCCTCCCAGGGGGCTGATTTCTTGTTTTCTATCTCTCTTCCCAGCCAGCACACACATCCTATAGCAAAAATCTCTCTTAAAAAGAAAAAAAAAATGGATAGAATTAGCACTCAATTATGATTATGATTATGATTATGATTATTATTATTATTTTTGTAATTGAGATTTATTGGCTGTGTCAAGGATCAGTACAGACATTTCAATTTGTACCCAGTTCTTAACATACATACCAAAAATTTAAAAAGCCAAGTATAGTGATTCTTTTTAAGTTATTCCAGTGATGTTCCAGCTTCAAATTTCTAGGCAAATTTTCCTTAAGAGGATATCAAGAACCACTGTCTTCAGATGTTGAAAGCTGTTATGTAAGTCCCACCAGATCACAATTTAGTATCATACACACTACATACTTCAAATTTGCAATCTTTCACAGCACATTAACAGAATTATTAGGAAAACTGGACTACCACGACCAAAGATGTTACAGAGTGCACACAGTTCTGACAGGGAGAGCAACTATCAA